TAAGTTCGTTTTGGGCGGACGAGCGCGCTGCTGATACCGAACTGTCGGACCGTGAAGGCGCAATGGGACGGGACCGTCGGACTGTGAGGGCGCCGCTGAGGTCTGACTGAGAGGTTTATTCAGCCGAGGGTGTTTGCGAGACCGGTAGACCCGTCGGGGCTGAGCGAAGCGTCGCTGGTGGGTGTTACGGTCGGAATCACGGCGGCTGACCTAGAGCACGGAACAGGTCCAGTCAGCCGTTGTCGGTATCCGTCGCAACATGCGCTGGGGATTCGTCACCGTCCGCAGCGGACCCCCAGAGATCACAGCGCCGCGTCCTGCCGTGGTGCACAGCGCCGACTGATGGACACACTGGCGACATGGCGCCGGTGTGTCGAGTGCTGACCTGTGCGGGTCGATAGCGCGCCATCACCTCACCCTCATAGCGTGGCCGCCCGCGGACCATAGCGTGGCCGTCCGCGTTCCTAGCGGCGGCCTGGCCCACATCACATTCCTCGGAACAACCATCGGGTGGCGCGCAGGCCGAGCTATAGCCTAGCCGTGCTGTAGCTGTACCGGAGTACAGCAGTTCGGCTGTTGTCGCCTATTTTGTCAGTTGTTGAAATCTAATGAAGGGTTGATAAATGCTAAGTGTGTTAAGAGTGGGAAGCTGAGTGATCGTACTGAAGAAGCGGCGAATATGGCCGGTGATTTGAGTGATGCTTGTTCAGGCGTTCCGTGCACATGCTTGTTCAATGTGCAGGCTTTCATTGTAGCATCAGGAGTAGGATGAATGATTGAATTAACATGAGTGAAGTTAGAACAGAATTAGAGTAGGTAAACGATGCATTCTTCAACGACTATTTTATTTTAAACAGCCACATTCAATGCAGATACATCGTGAATAAACACAGTCTGATAGAACCGCTGAAAATCTTCTCATTTCTCACTGGACCGGCTTCAGATCCCAGCTGGGCGAGACAATGCTCGGCGAAGGTTTCCAAACTAACCGCATTACTTCCCCCGGCTCGTATCTGTGGAGGGAACGGGAAAACTACCCTGCACAGACCACTAAGAAAGCCGCTCGCAGCAATCATGGCAGCCTCTGAAACTGCTGTGCTGCATGCTCAGAAACATTTGTGCCCTATATTATTGTAGCTTCCGAAGCCGTAATTACCAAACTGACCTCCGGAGAAGGTGCCCCCAAGACTGCCGTAGCTTCCAAGATAGCTAGTTCCAAAACCATTGTAACCTCCGAGATATCCGTAGCTAGGTGCTAGATGTGCGCTTTGAGTGAGGACGTTGACGGGTGTCCTCCCAGGTTTAACTTGAGATACACCTCCGATTCAACCGTAGTACCCTCCAGAAACACCTCCGAAATTGCCTCCCAGAGAGCTGCTTCCAAAGCCACGGTAGCCGCCAAGAGCGCTGCTTCCGACTCCACCGTAACCGCTCAAAGAACTGCTTACAAATCCGCGGTAGCCAAGAGAGCTGCTTCCATGTCCACTGTAGCCGCCCAGAGAGCTGCTTTGAAAGCCACCGTCGCCGCCAAGAGATCCACTTCCAAAGCTGCCGTAGCCGGCCAGAGATCCAATTCCAAATCCACCGTAGCTAAGAGCACTGCTTCCAAGCCCACTGTAGCCGCCAAGGTATCCACTTCCAAAGCTACCGTAGCCGCTAAGGGACCCACTTCCAATGCCACCGTTGCCGGCCAGAGAGCTGCTTCCAAATCCACCGTAGCCAAGAGAGCTACCTCCAAATCCACCGTAGCCAAGAGAGCTACCTCCAAATCCACCGTAGCTGCCAAGAGATCCACTTCCGAAGCTACCGTAGACGCCGAGAGAGCTGCTTCCATGCTCACCGTAGCTGCCCAGAGATCCGGTTCCATGCCCACTGTAGCCACCGACAGAGCTGCTTCCAAATCCGCTACTGCCGACAATACCGCTGGTTCCACCGTAGCTGCCCAGAGATCCGCCTCCATATCCACCGTAGGCAAGAGATCCGGTTCCATATCCACCGTAGCTGCTTCCAACTCCGCCGTAGCCGTTCAGGGAGCCGCTCACCTGGCCACCATAGCCCGATGAGCCACTGAAACCTTCGCTGTGGCCTCCAAGGAAGGTATTCGCCAGCCCGCCAAAACCTCCCGAGCTGTAGGCCCCGTAGTTGCCTCCGAAGCCATTGTAGCCTCCGAGATATCCGTAAATGGGGGCCAGATGTGCGGTCTGAGTGAGGACGTTGACAGGCGTACCTGCGGGTTTTACGGTGGACACGCCTCCGATAACGCTGTGGTAGCCTCCCGATAGTCCTCCGAGAGAGCCACTCAAGGAGCTGCTTCCAAATCCACCGTAACCGGCCAGAGAGCTACTTCCAAATCTACCGTAGCCAAGAGAGCTGCTTCCAAATCCACCGAAACCGCTCAGAGATCCACTTCCATATCCGGAGTAACCGCCAATAGATCCACTTCCAAATCCACCGTGGCTGCCCAGAGAGCTGCTTCCAACTCCACCGTAGCCAAGAGAGCTGCTTCCATAACCACCGAAACCGCTCAGAGATCCACTTCCATGTCCGGAGTAACCGCCAGTAGATCCGCTTCCATAACCCCCGTAGCTTCCCAGAGAACTTACAAATCCACCATAGCTGCCCAGAGAGCTGCTTCCAAATCCACCGTAGCTGCCGAGAGAGCTGCTTCCAAATCCACCGTAGCTGCCCAGAGAGCTGCTTCCAAATCCACCGTAGCCGACCGAGCTTGATCCTAATCCACTGTAACCAACAGAGCTGCTCCCAAAACCACCGAAACCGCTCAAAGAGCTGCTTCCATATCCACCGAACCCATCGAGTGAATTGCTTCCCAATCCACTGTAGCCGGCAGTGGATCCACTTCCAAAGCTACCGCCCTGATATTTACTTCCGTAGCCTGCATAGCCTCCGAGGTAGCCGCCTCCCTGACTATTGTAGCCCCCGAGGAATCCTACGATGCTGCTCGAGCCACCGAAGTTGCCGTAGGCAGGCAACAGCAGCGCGCTCTGTGTGAAGATGTTGACCGGCTTCCCGTAGACGTTGACACTCGACCCGCCGCTGCCGTAGTGGGCTCCGAAGCTGCCGGAGGCTCCGTAGCCCGCCGCGCCGTAGCTTCCAGGTGCGGAGAAGCCTCTAGCGGTGACCAGTGTCGCCAAACAGAGAAGGAGCACCACCTGCAGGGGAGGGAAAGTGGAACGGGTCTCAGTGCGCTGCCAGCAGCGACAAGGTGCCGAAGACGTTTGCCAGCAATGAGACGTCGTCACTTTACGGACGCCGACTTCAATTATGATGTTATCGATCTTAGTTCAAATTTTGCCTATATCCAACTATTTATTTTACTCATGTTTGCTTTCTTCAGACATTGTCTTGCCTTCTGTAGATAACTGTCGAGTCGATTATTAATGATAAGGCATACCCTGACGCACTGTTAGACTATTTGCGTCCCATGCAGGTACGTCGCTCACCTGCATTTTGCTGTTTGGAGTTTCTGGGGAGTGCCGAGGCTGCACTGCTGCGCGCCGAACGGAGCCCTCGGGGCAGTGTTCCGATCCTAGCACCGTGAGTCGATGCTACTGATACAGTCAGGTCACTGGCAGCGACTCTTACTCGTATATGGGTGCTATAGCGGCATAGGCGCGGGAGCCGGGGGGGGCAGTGGGGGGCAGCTTGCCCCCCCCCCCCAACTCTAGGGCCGTGGGGGCGGTGCCCCCACAACTTTGAGACGAAATACTGCACTTTTTTTGCAAATGTTTTTCTTTTTTGTTGAAAAAGCCAAGGGATGAAAAATAAGTGGCCTAAAACCGGTGAGAAAACTAGATTTGGGGGTACCCTAGGTTCATCTCCATTATAGTGTGCCCCCCAGTCTGAAAGTAGTTCCCGCGCCTATGTATAGCGGCACGAGCAACGGTAGCGAAATGGTGCAATGTTCGCCTCAATCGACACATGCGTTAGCGGCCACGTCTGTGGCCAGCGTGGCTCAATTATCCCGCGCCGGAAAAATGCCCGCCTCCTTAGAATTTCCTCTTCTGTTCAGAAGTTGCATCAGAAACACACCGGAGATACGGGTGAAGCTCACGCGCACGGCCTGTGCACTATTTGCATTTGTGGCGTGCACACCTCATGCGACACGCACTCGAAAAAAGGAGGAAAATGCAAAACGGACCTAAAACAGACTTTCGCCGGTCGAACGGTGATCAAGTCCAACAAAAAAAAAAAACATTCAGCACTTATAAAGTTAAGATTTCAAGTAAAGAGGTTCATGTATCAGACATACACTGGTGGAGACGATCACCTCAGACACCTTCCTTCAAATGAGATCGGATTGCGAGATGAAAAGATTAGTCGGCAAAATCGTTATCATTTAGCGTTAAAAGTTGCCGTTCAAAGCTTGATTTCGTCAGCGACGCCTCCCCCATTCTTTCATGAACACGCAAAATAGATGGTTTGCATAATGAACCCTAGTACGAGGTGTGCGTTTGGTCGGGGGGGGGGAGGGTCAATAAATATTGATTTTACTACAGGTACCAGATCCCCTACGGAGACTGCAGCAAGGACTGCAGCACCAGTCGGCCGACCGTGACCGTTTCCATGGCGACCAAATAGCATGGTCAATGAGCGCTAGACTGCAGCTACGAGACCGGGTGCCGGTCAACTGTGGCATCCACATCATACAGTCACAGCAAGGTGTAAACGGTCACACATAGAGTCGGCGGTGAGGGTAGAACGACATCACATTTCAGACATATTCAACGTTCAACGCTCGTCGTTGGGGGCCGGTCCAGTAAGTACTTGGTGTACCGTCAGCACCGTCTATTATACGCTTGTCTATTCTCCGGCAAAGCCCACATTTGTGATAAAGATAAGTGGAAGGGTATGTGTTATAACGTGTGAGTAAGGATTCAAGAAGCGAAGAGAATGAGTGGCTCGTAGTAGGAACAGGGGAGATGAATTATGAATCTGCGTATTCTGCGATCCTCAGGGAGATATCAGATGTAGGTATCTTTGAGTAGTTCGCGCTGACGTCCCGGCGGTCCCGCCAGGCCGCCATGGCTCGTCTGGCGTACTGTACCGACGTGGACCGGTCCGTGGTCCTCTCCAGTCTGGAGCGGCGCGGCTGGACCGCCGTCGGACCAGAGGACGACTGGAACTTCTACTGGTACGTGCTGGAACTTTCACTGGTACGTGAACGACATCACCTTCCGTTCATATACAAAGGCACAACTGCAGACGATACGGTGCACGTTGAGAAATAAAGAGTGCAGTGAATATACCTGACGAGAGAGCGAGAGAGAAAGGGAAAGAGAGAGAGAGAGAGAGAGAGAGAGAGAGAGAGAGAGAGAGAGAGAGAGAGAGAGAAAGAGAGAGAGAGAGAGAGGAAAGACAGAGGAGCGGCTGTATGATCCCCTCATTTCGTCCTCAGGGCCTCGACAAACACCACCCGCAGTCTATTCAGCGTCGACAGTGGTTACCGTATGGGAGATCACCAGTGAGTATTTGACCAAACACTGGCGTGGGAAATGAGAGAGTCGCCCAATCATCCCACACCGTTTAGCCATAATGTTACTTAAAGCCATAAGCAAAGTTAAATTTATTAAATTTTCTGCGAGGATAACGTTATAGCCGAAAATGATTCGCCTCAATGATAGAGGCAGGGCAACGCAATCCTGTCCCACAGTGTGTGGTCTTTTTAAGTACCTATGTGTTTTTGACGTTCGTATACGTCCGTATATGTACATATACCTGCATTGTTTGATGAATGACATGCTTTATTTACAGTCATAAACGTAACCAGTATTTGTATCATTTTAACAATGTTATTTAAAAATAATCGACCTGGTTGATCAATTAGGTATCGGCACCAAATTAACTTACAATGTTTACGTTTGTCCATAGGATGATAAACCACTTTCCGACCCACTACGAGATCACCCGTAAGGACCTGATGGTGAAAAACGTCAAACGCTACCGCAAAGAGCTGGAGAGGGACGGAAACCCGCTGGGAGAACGAAACGAACAGGTCAGGTCGGATGACAGTCAAACACACGCTGGTCGTAACTCAGCTTGCCTTAACACGCGCAGTGGAAGGGTTGCGAGTACTACGCCCAGTGGAAGGGGGGGGGGGCGGATGTCGCCCCCCCCCCCTAAGATCTCAGCTCCCACTGGAGCTAGAAAGACGAAATTTGGAGGGTAGGTGGGGGCCCAGGGGAACTCTGTTGTGTGTGAATTTCATGACCCTAGGTCAATATCTTCAAGGTCAAATGAGGTCAAAAGTGGTCAAATCTGCCATATTAGCGACTTTTTTGCGTTTACACGCCGATAACTCAAAAAGTTACCGGCCGATTTTCTTTTTTCTTCCACTATACGAAAGAACATACATTTGTGAGTATGTATGGTGAATTTCTTGTTAATCCAACAATAAATATGGCAGTTAGAAGCCTGCTAAGCGTAAGATGTCGCCGGCTGAAGCGGGATCGGCGGACGCGGGAAACGCGGCAATCACAATTTTGTGTTTACACACTCATAACTCAAGTTGTTACCGGCCGATTTTCAAAATTCTTTGACCATAAGATTGCCTGTACATTTCTTAGTCTTCTCACAAAATTTGACGCTAATCGAATATAATCAGCGGTAAGGAGCGCGATGTAAAGACGGAACCGTCCCGCCCCGGCACAGTCTACAATTCAGGCGGCGCGTAACGGCTAGCGCCGGCCGCCGCGGCGGCAGGATGTTTGACTTTACACCGCTATTACTAGAAAAGTTGTGACCCGATTTTTTTATTTCTTGCACGAGAAGATCCACAGTTCAATTCTGGACAGGTAGCCAAAATTTCACATTAATATCATGTTTGCGGCGCGAGTTATTGGCGAAAAACAGGAGGGGTGGGCGAAATCCCCCCCCCCCCTTCCACTGCGCGTGTTAAATAAGCTCACATTGTCCTAAATTAGATAAAACGTTATAATAAAACGATATTGTTGCATATTATAAAAACACTATTTACAAGAAGCGGTACTTCTCAGAAACACTGACAATCGTCCGGCGTTGTGTGCACGTTGCGTCCCTCAGGGTCGCTACGTGCACCTGGACTTTATCCCGGTGACGTTCATGCTGCCGGCCGACTACAACCTGCTGGTCGAGGAGTTCCGCAAGAGTCCCAACAGCACATGGATCCTCAAACCGGCCGGCAAGAGCCAGGGCGTTGGCATCTTCCTCGTCAACCGGCTGGCGCAGATCAAAAAGTGGTCCCGCGACTCAAAGACGCCGTTTAACCCGGCGCTCGTGAAGGATACATACGTCATCTCCAGGTCAGAATAGGAACGGGTTTTTTCGGCATATGTATTCCGAAGAAATAAATGAGTATTTTAAATGGTGCCACTGATTGAATTACGCTTCTTGTATAGCTATTTATGATGTCTTACACGATGACCATGCCGGTAATAGGTGAGTGGAGAATAAGCGAGAATTACATATGTTTTATGTTTCGCGAATCATTTACAGATACATCGACAACCCTCTGCTGATTGGTGGCAAGAAGTTTGACCTGCGCATTTACGTTTTGGTTACCTCGTTCCGACCGCTCAAGGTCTACCTCTTCAAGATGGGATTTTGTCGCTTCTGCACCATCAAGTATGACCTCAACACTCAGGAACTGGATAACATGTTTGTTCATCTCACCAACGTCTCGATACAAAAGCGCGGGGTAGGTATGAACACCTCGGTAGCACTTTGTTTCGCTATGGGTGTAGGTAAATGTCTTACCAAACATTTCGTTCAGCTTTTTGGTCTGAAGACTGAAGTTGTCATTCAAATGGCCGATTTGCTGCCTTCGATACAGAATGCTGTCAGGCTTACCAGGACCATGCCACTACACATTTCCCTACATCTTCATTCCCAGGCCGAGTACAATTCGATCCACGGCGGTAAGTGGTCCATGGAGAACCTGCAACTGTTCCTGGAAGGAACTCGCGGCCGGAAAGTCACCGACAAGCTGTTCAGCGACATCAACTGGCTGCTGGTGCACTCGCTGAAGGCCGTGGCGCCAGTCATGGTCAGCGACCGACACTGCTTCGAGTGCTACGGATACGACATCATCGTCGACCAGAACCTCAAGCCCTGGCTCATTGAGGTATGTGACAAGCAGTGTGCCATTGATTCGGGTAAATTCTCGATTATTTGAACACATTCAGGTGTGACTCATTTTGTGAGTCTCTTAGCATTTTAAATCGTGACAGCCCAAAGTTTTTGGAAGGCAGCGTTTGGCGCCTCCCGTAATTTGTGCATCGATTCGTTTTGTAGTCTGACGTAGCCTTCCGTTCTAATGTCTAGCAATAGTCAAAGATAACAGTGAGTGAGCCAATTTGCTGACCACCTTCCCTTCACAGGTGAACGCCTCACCGTCTCTGTCCTCCACCACGGCCAACGACCGGATCATGAAACAGGCGCTGATCGACACATCATCAAGGTCGTACTGCCGCCCGACGGAATACCAGAGTGAGTGTGTGCGGACAGAGATGAATTACGCAAGGAAATGTAAAATAGATCCGATTCGGTAAAACTTGATGCTTTATATTTATCATCTATAAAACCATGCTTATCAAACTATTCGTCACACTGCGTGCTTTGATTTGCCTTGACCTTTCCAAAATGGTACTGAGACGTAAAACATCGTGAAAACGATTACACATATTCCGTAGCCAATGTAGCCACTATCACGTTTCGTTCCTCCGTATCCAGCGTGCACTGGAACAAGGTGCCGCCGTCGGAGAACCTGACCGACTTCGAGCTGCTCCTGGACGAGGAGATAGCTGCGCAGCTGGAGAACGCCAGGGACCGCGGACAGGCCTCCAACCTGCCCCGCTGGCGCTGAACTACGGTCACTGTGACTGCCCGGGACAGCTGGAGAACGCCAGGGACCGAGGACAGGCGTCCAACCTACCCCGCTGGCGCTGAGGATCGCGGACAGGCCTCCAACCTACCCCGCTGGCGCTGAGGACCGCGGACAGGCGTCCAACCTGCCCCGCTGGCGCTGAGGACCGAGGACAGGCGTCCAACCTGCCCCGCTGGCGCTGAGTCTGTGACCCGGGCTGGGGACAGCAGAGGCTGTCTGGGACAGCGGACAGGCGTCCAATCTACCCCGCTGGCGATAAAGCACCTGAACAATGGGAGAGAGGCCAGCACAGCTATGTAACTTCCACCGAATCAGGACATAAAAAATGTTTGTATAATACGCTTATCAAATGACCAAGAGTGTACACCTTTCGTTCAGGAGTTAACCAATCCACGATAGACTCGGGCAGTCAGGCTACGAGACAGTCCCAGCAGCGGCACTGAGCAGACCCAGGGTGGCTCTGACTGACAGAAGCAGTGCCCAGTGGAAACACAAGCACGGAGAATAGCCCAGACAACAACGGTGAAAACACTATCACAGGGGAGCCAGGAGGCGGCAGTAACCAGTAACCACAGCCCGCCATGGGAACCAGCACAGAGGGCGGTCAGTGACAATGAAAACCCATAACACGAGGTGACACCGTTAGGCGTTGGCGCGTATGTTAGAGCGGCAAGGCACTAGGGCTAATTAGTCAACACCATACGAGGGGGTATCGAAAAGTTCTGATCATCGCATAGAAGATATAGACGGATTTTGATGATTTTTGCTTTGTATTATATTTGGTTCTCAAGAACAATGTTCCCGCAAAGAAAATCCTGAGAAGTGGTTTTATCTTATGTAGGAGAGACTTCGAAGTAAAAAAAAGATGAATATTGGGCCCATTGATGAACGAACCGTCATCCAACTAATGCATTTGAAACGGTATCACACTGAGAAAATACATCAAGAACGTGAAATAAGTCTATGGCGAGGAAAGCCCATCTCATGCACTTACCGAAAATGAAGAAATATTTCAACTTGGTTGCATGGCCTTTGCAAGGGAGTCAAGAAGTGAGTGACTTCCAGTGGCTGACAAGCTGGTGACTGTGAAGGAAGTGGAGGACCTCATCCTTTCAGATCGTCGTGTGACCTTTCAGATGATCGTGCAACAGAAAGGTCTCAATGCTGGCAGTGCCAGAAAATATTATCAGCGAAGAACTACAGACGATAAAGGAGTCAGCCCGCTTAAAAGTTCGTGTGTCTACTTTGTTCAAGAGAAAAATGCGTCTTGGCCTTTGGAAACGAAAACTAGACATTTTTTTAGGAAATTGAAGACATCTTTGATCATTTGATGACTTGTGACGAATGCTGGGTCTATGTATATGATCCAGAGACAAAAAGATGATCAAGAAGTTGAAGCACGGCACATCTGTCCTTCTTAACCCGCGCACCGACGGGGGGGGCGGATATCCGCCCCCCCCCCCCTGAGGTTTTTCGCGAATAGCGGGAAAACCGCGGCGCGTAGCGCCGCGAAATTTGGTATGACTATACCTTCCTCAATTTTACACATGGTGTGCAAATTTGAACCTCCTACCTTTTAAGGTCAGGTCACCAGGTCACTTTGAATGACCCAACCTCAAGTCACTTTTTTGCAACTTCGTCACCGTGCCAGAGCTACAGTAGATGTCGGAGACCTTTGAAAGTCGCAGGATGTTATTAGGTCATTAGTAGCTACAATTTGTATATCTCGGAATTTTGATATCGGTGACCTAAGGTCAGGTCAATTTCGCGACCTCCCCATTATAAGTCAATGGGGGAAAAATCAACTCCCTGTTTTTACCAATAAAACGGGTCGGAATGGCCCCATATACCATACATGACTTTATATACGATCAACCTTCACTACCTTGAGGTCTGTTTTGCTGTTGGGCAGCTGTGAGGTCATGTGACGTCATCAAAGGTCACCAAAGGTTTTTGGCCAATAACTCCGTACAGGAACAAGATACAGCCGCGTGGATGGTCTCATTGTGTTCAGCTCGTCAAGACGCATCGAATGATATACATGATGACCTCGAGGTCACGTGACCTGAGGTCAACCTTTGACCCTGACCTTTCGAGGTCAACATAATATCATTCGATGCGGATTGACGAGAGGATCACGATGATGCCCTTAGTTTGTTCCTATCTTGACTAGTTCGAAAGTTATTCGAGAAAAACTCTCAATATCTAGCGCCGCCATTTTGACTTTTTCGACCCCTGTGACGTCATCTTTGACCTGACCTGAAAATGACCTTAGTAAAAATTGTAGATCTTGACCGTGCGTATCCGATGCCGTTTACCGCTTGTCGCTATCTTGCTTCGTTCTCGAGATCTCAGGGGGGGCGGTCATCCGCCCCCCCCGTCGGTGCGAAGTTGGCGCAGACCCCG